CTAAGTACTCAAGGCCATGGCATTTTTCTGAACATAGAAAGGTCATTGTGCCTGTGTGGCATCTCTCTGGCATTCCAGAGTCAGGCACACTGCACTGATCTCTCTGTTCTATTCTTGCTTGCTTGAGACTATTTGAGGTGCTGAATACAATTTGTGTGGTTCAGTTTCATGTGTCAGAAAGTCATCATTTTTGTTTGTTCTTTTTTTTTGTTCATTCCTTTTTTCTCCTTCCATCCCCTTCCTTCCTTCCTTCCTTCCTTCCTTCCTTCCTTCCTTCCTTCCTTCCTTCCTTCCTTTCTGAGAAACAGGGGCAGGACAAGAGGAATAAATGTCTGAGAGGACTCATAGGCTCTCGTTGATGTGGCGATGAGGCATGTCTTTGTTGTCCTCCATTCAAAGCTTCCCTGCACTGGTCACCCCGTGTTCAGATCTATGTCACGGGAAGGCATGGTCTCCCTCTGTGGGCACATGTGATCCCGCCCAGTCCACACCTCAGAAAGTGTGGCTACATTATTCATCTTTGCTGAAGAGGCATGCAGCATCTTTAATCTCACAGATTCATTAGCAAAAATCAAGCAAGGAAAAATAGTACAGATGGAGGCTTAGAAGAATGCAAGATGGAGAGTGTGTGAAGACAGAGGGGTTGTAAAGGACACCAGAGGTAAGAGAGCACTTCTCTGCTGTCTGTCACAGCCGAACCACAAGTATTCCCCATCGAACAGCAGCATAAATCAAAATCGCTCCTCCATGAGTCACAAAATCCTTCTGAAATCACATCTACACCAACCAAAAGGAATTACACATCTGGGAAACATGCTGCTGTTCTGTTAGGTATGAACATCTGCCACTATTTTACAATGAGCAGTAGCTTCCTTGTTTACTTTGCTTTTGTACTAGATGTAATTGAGATGCTCAACCAGAGAGTGCACAGCTTCTTACAGTGCTTGTACAGAATAGGCTTCTGCTCTTCAACTTACCCTGAAGCACCTAGAACAAAGCCAAATCCCACAGAAATCCTTTGACAATCTGTAGGTGAGAAGTCCCATGCTGAGTCTTTATGCATAAAATCCTTGCTGTCTTAAGTAGGGTAAAGAAGAACTAAAAACCAAAATTAAATAGCTTATCAAATTTCGAGTATATAAGTATTCCTAGTGATCTTCACTGGGAGAAGGTAACCCTTTAGAAAAGATAAATGAAGCTCAATATCTTATCTTTTTTTTTTAGATGCAAAAACAGAATATGTGGTTGGTCTAAAATTCCAGGCATGAGTCAAAACCAAGCCTCCTGATCCCAAATCTCAAGCAAGGGCTTTCAGATGGTCCCTTCAGGTCCACTGCTTCTGAGGTGAGAACACCACTGTGCAGTCATTCTGGAGAAGGCGAAGCCCCCATGTACATAGGCTGGCACTGTAAACGTACGGTATGCTATGAGTAGGGACCTGACAAAGGCACACACCACTCCATAGCCAAGGTGGCAATGTCCTCTTACACAGAAGAGAGGACCCAGTATATAAGGTAGGAGAACTTGGCCAAGGTAACACAACCAGGAAGCGTCAGAGCTGGGATTTACCTTAGCAAGAAGATGATAAGCAGGCAGTTTTCACATAGGGCAGAGAAACCATTAGTAGCCTATTGGGATGCAGTGGATGTCTGGTGGGGTCACCAGAGTGGAAGCAGTGTGAGAAAGACCAGAGACCCAGAACAAATGCGCGACTTGTCTGTGTGTCAGCAGGTGACAATGTACGTGGACAAGGAGCTCTTGTGGCGTGACAGCCCTATGAAAGACTAGAGGAGCAGCTGTTCATGTGGACAGCGCTTTGCTCCGTGGTTGGCTGGTAGGTTGACAGCTCATCCATGTGTCCACCCTGTGTACTTCCAGGAAGGGCAGGGTCAGGGTCTGAAAGGCAGTTTCCTGACCTAGGGACTAAGTACACACAAAAGCAAAAAAACGGGCACTATGATCAAAGGTAGCACCTCCAATGTGACCTGGTACTGACTATTGACCTTACCTTCTGCCATTGAACCAGTGTGTGTGTGTAGGAGTGGGGTGGGGGTGGGGGAAGCTCTGACTACAAATAACAAAGAGATATGGTCAAGATGTTTCCTGTCTTTTCTATGCCCTGAAGCAATAGACATTTGTTTTAGCCATGTGGATGTATACCACCCTGAACAGTTTTACTCTCACCGGATACATCAGCAAGAATTAACGAAACTAGGTCTTTGTAAGCACAGTCCTGAGGGCATCTCAACCATATTTATTCTGTTATTTGGTGGCCTCCACCACACCACCCCAAGTCTCTGTGTGAAACTCTGACAGTGGGTTCCCTTAGTACTCCAAGCTAACCTGAGTTTTCCATGGCAGCTGCTGTATTTCGACCAGGAACTTCTCCAAAGATCGTTGTAATAACGGCTGAGTGTCCGGCCTGGGGCACTACTGGCAGGTGATGAAACCATTAAGAGATGGAGATTGGTAAGCAGTTTTAGGTAACTGGAGGAATACTCCCAAATAGATTGTGGAAAGCTTGTAAACTGGTCTCTCATTTCCGGCATTAAGATCGATAATCCATCTTCTGCTTTAAGTCCTCACCAGGATACACTGCCTCGTGACAGTCACAGAAGCAGGAGGAACGACCAACCATAAAGTCAAAATGACTTTTGCCTCTTTATAAGTCAGTCACCTCAGGTGTTTTATCAGAGTAGTGAGAAGCAGACAGACACAGAGCGCTAGCTATATTAGAAATGTAGCTCAGGGGCCAGTGGGATGGCTCAGTAGGTAAAGGACTTGCGACCCAACCTGACTATCTGAGTTTGAGTCCCAGAGTCCATATGGGGGAAGAAGGCTCCTACAAACTGCTCTGTGTCCTCTGACTTCTATATGTGTATCGCGGCATGCACATGTGCACTCATGCATGCACACACACATGCTCACACGCACCAGGCATACACAAATAACTGCAAAAAAAGAAATGAAGTTCAGAACTTACTGAGTTGTACTTCTTAAATGTATGCCATTTCTACTCTACTGTCCCAATCGACCAACAAAACAAGACTATTTACCCACAAGATAGTCATTGTCTTCCCCCTCTAAAACCACAGGATAGTTATTGCATGATTCAATCTACATGGCCCATCTAAAATGCTTAGCTTCTTAGAGACAGACAAGAGAATGGCAGTTATCAGTGGTGGTAAGGAGGGGAGAGTTGGGTCATTACTGTTTAATATGTAGAATTTCAGTTTGGGATGATGAACTATTGTTGGAGATGGGTTCTGGCAACCTCATAATAACCTGAATGTTCTTACTGACTTACACATTTAACAATGGTCAAAATGTCTTGTTGTATACATTTTACCACAATAAATGACTATAAAACAAAGCATTGTAATCAGTATAAACAAACACAGCCCAAGGTAAGGGGAGTGGGTAGAACTACTTTAGATAAGATCACAGGACATTTCTCCTAGACACGAATCTTAGAATACAAGGGAGAGAGTACTAAAGAGAGAAGAGCACTAGAGAGTGAGGATATCCCAGGAAGAAGACAATAGTGTGGAGTCAGAAGTGTTCTTCATGTATGGACAGCAGCAAAAGATCCACTGTCCTTTATAGTGTATGCATGTGCATGTGTCTATGGTGGGTGTACACAGAGCCTATGCTTGGGCATGTGTGTGTTTCTGTATTGGAAGCAAGGAAGTTGATATGAACTTGAACCTACTTATGGTAACTCAGTCATGAGAATTAGCAAAATGAATGTCAGTTAAAGGGGGAGACAGTGCTGCATTAAGGTAGACAGCCATGTCATACCCACTGGAGGCCTCTGGGGGAATCCTCCTAAGCAGCATCTAATACAGTCCTAAAAAGAGTTGCTTATTAATCTGGGGTTGAAGGTCAGCTTGGATTATCCTTTTTTTTTTTTAAATCAGGTTTAGCTCCTCCCTCTCTTTGAGGCAACTGTCTGAGTTCCAGGTTGAGTGGAAACTTCCAAAGCTCCGCAAATCATTTCTGGTGAGTGCATTTGGGTTCCTGTCTTCACAGTCTCGGCGTCTGATTAATTTCAGAGGCCTGAGATAAGAGGCAGGTCAGTCACGTTGATGGCAGTGCTTTCTCTGCTTGCTGTGGCATGTGAGTTCTCTCCATTATCTGTTTGCAAAAATGTTACAAAGAGAGTTCCTTGACATCTAAGACCTAGAGGACTGGGATGTTAGGTTTCTTAGAGAGGAACAGCTGGAAGAAAGTCTTGAAGGACAGATGTGATGCTGAGAGAGAGATTCTAGGCAGGTTTGCCTAATTGTCAGCGGTTTGGGCATGTACAATATAAGGAAGAAGAGGGGAAATCTACTAGAGAGAAAGTTATAGAGAAAATGCTTTCCCCAGCAACCCCGTCTTGCTCTATGGAAATTAACTACCCCGAAGTGCACTCAAGTGCATTCTGGGCAGGGCTGGTAGACTTACCAGGGGATTGGGGTCTGGTAGTGTCTCTTTTAATTGCTAGCCTGTAGTTTATTGTTGGAAACTGGAGAAAGGATAACTAACTGGTCTTGGAGAGAAGTTCCAGTGTAAAAATAGGATTTGGGCTGCAGATGGTGTCCAAGGGTAGGTAGGCGTGAGTGCAAGGTCCTGCAGAACATTGTGTCTCTATTCATCCCCATCCACTAAGGCATCAGGAATTAGTGAGCTGGTGATGTGAAGTCGCTCTGCTCTCACTGCCATGAGAAACATGTTCACAACCTACCTGAGTGAGACCAGAGACCTGGGCCCTGGTGACCTCCCTCAGAAGGGCCTTTATTTCACGCTACGATGTTATGCCTATTTTTGTTAAAATACTAACTACACAGCATTGTAAAGATTTTTTAAATGCCCAATCTAGACACTAGCAGTGAGTAATCCAATTACAATGTCTGTCCCCAAGTTACAGGACAGAGGTCAGGTTGGTATATACATGCTGACTAACTGTAAAGGATGAGATAATTTTTCATGATTTTCCCCACACCAAGGTGAGGACCATGTTCCTGTTTCCATCTTTCCTTCTCCTGGGCTTGGTAACAGCATCTTATGCAGAGCCTGTAACTGAAGGTGCTCAAAGTACCTGCCCTGTGATTGCCTGCAGTTCTCCAGGCCTGAATGGCTTCCCAGGCAAAGATGGGCGAGATGGGGCCAAGGGAGAGAAGGGAGAACCAGGTATGCATTGAACTGCTTTCTTTGCTCTTAAAAAGTTTGTTTTAATTATGCATGGTGTGTGTGTGTGTGTGTGTGTGTGTGTGTGTGTGTGTGTGTACGCGCATAGTAATGCACTCATTTGAGTGCAGGTTACCTTGGAGACCAAAGGCATAGTATCTTCCTGGAGTTGGAGTTATAGACAATTGTGAGCCAGCCACCATGGATGCTGGGAACTGAACTCAGGCCCTCTGTAGTAGCAGCACATGCTCATAACCACTGAGCAATCTCTCCAGCCCCTTTCTGTGACTACATTCCAGAAGAAACCAACTAGAGATACAAGGAGAGTAAAACTTATTAGGCATATTGCACTGTCACCAGCAACATTCTACAACTCAAAACACATAAAGTTCCAATTCTCTGGCATTCTGGACTCCCACACAGAAGTGTGTGTTGTTTGTCTTGCCTGTTCTGGAAAGTGGCCCTCATGTCAGCCTGTCTCATGGATCACAGGGGACTTACCTCACCACAGGGGATTAAGCATCAAGCTTTTGGAAAAAGAGCAAAAGCTCTGATATCGACCCAAGTTTTGTTTATCTTCCAACAGGTCAAGGGCTCAGAGGCTTGCAGGGCCCTCCTGGAAAGGTAGGACCTGCAGGATCCCCAGGGATTCCTGGGCTCAAAGGAGCAGAGGGGCCCAAAGGAGAAGTGGGGCCCAAAGGAGCAGAGGGGCCCAAAGGAGCAATGGGGCCCAAAGGAGCAGAGGGGCCCAAAGGAGCAGAGGGGCCCAAAGGAGAAGTGGGGCCCAAAGGAGCAGAGGGGCCCAAAGGAGCAATGGGGTCCAAAGGAGCAGAGGGGCCCAAAGGAGCAACGGGGCCCAAAGGAGACCGTGGAGAGCGTGGAGGTAAGGCGATCAAGTCAGAATGTCTGGGCTGATGACATTTGGGTTCTGGAACCTAGAATGCTGGTGGGGTGTACTGTTTCTTGATGCTACATGGGTAGATGCCCAGCTCTGCTTCCTGATCAAGTTCCTTTATCACTGTCTGATTACTTAGAGCCCAAGGGGGTTTCAACAATGACTAGGTATATATTTGCAGAGCTTTCGGGAAGTTCTATTTTTTCAGACACTCTGCAAGGCATGGAAGTCCAGATTCTCTTTTGGCTTAAACAGTCTCCTTCAGCTGAGTTTCTGCCCTCAAGGAAAATACTATATCCAAATGTAGTCTTCTATGTCTGTTTTACTGAAAGTGTATTGGCAGTCATGTGAACTATATTTTACTTCTAAGAAACCAATCCAAAAAACTCAGTAGGTTAAAAAAAACACAACCATTTATTTAAACATAATCTTGTGGGTCAGCCACAAAAGGTCTGATCTCATTTGGGCTCACACTTATGCCTGTGGTTTCCTGATGGTCAGTGGTCTCGCTCACACTTCTGGCTTCTGCTTGGGTGTTCGCTGCTGTGATAAGGGCCAGTGAATCATGACATTCTTATTGTGCCATACACCATCCAGGGCTTGATCAGGTAGTAGTGATTACACAGTTCCTAAGATAGAAGCTTCAAGGCTTTGTGAGGTTTAGAACATATCCATAGTCACTTTCGCCATGTTCCTAAAAGGTACAGCCCAGCCCAGAATCGAGGGGGTGAGAAAAGACTGCATTTCTTAATGAGAAAAACTGCTACCCTATTACAGCTACTTATCCCTTCCTATTCAAATAATGAGGAACTCAGAGAGAATATTGTTGATTTCTTGCATGACAAATTTCAATAAAACCAAAACAGAATAGGAATTAGGATGATGGCTTTGTTGGTGGAGTGCTTGTCAACAAGCATGACTACTTCAGTTTGCTATTTCAGCATTCATATAAGAAAGATGGGTACAACAGTGCTTGCCTATCAATCTATCACTGTGGAGATAGAGGTGCCCCCACACCAAGCACTAAAACAGTAACCACCCCCAACTCTACCAAGAAAACAACTGAAGGGCAACAAAAATCTCCCTAGAGACAAAAATCTCTCTAACAGTTTCAATCAATAATAACTTCTTCAGAGATTTATTTTAGCCCTAACAAAGCAGTTTGTTTGGAAGAATAGTCAATTTCTCATTTGTGGATTCTTATCAAGCTATGTAATCAGTAAGTACATGAATGTGCTAGCGAAATATGTGTACATGAAATATCTTTGCATACAGGACTAGAATTTCACTTGATTAATTGATCAATTTGTTTATTTTTGAGATAGGGTTTCACTCTGTATCCCTGGCTGTCCTGGAACTCACTTATGTAGACCAGGCAACCTTGAACTCATAGAGATTCACTTGCCCCTGCTTGAAAGGCATTTGCCATCACTCCTGGTTCCCACTAGAGTTTTTAGGATTGAAACATGTGAGTATTTGAGAGAGTAACATAAATGAACCATTGATTCTCAGTCTACCCTCAAGCGTATATATAGGGACAAATAGAATGGCGACAGAGAGGCTTCACAATTAATCAGTCCTGCTCATGGTGTGCTTCCCTTGATGACTGTTCTCAGTTCTGGTTCAGAGAGGCAGTCTAAGAAGTCCTTCTTGTGTCATCACTTGAGGGGACCAGTCTGATTTCCACAAGGTGATCGTTTCTGCTCGGCACTATTGTCTAGCCGTCATGGGTAACTGCCTTATCTTGGGAGATAGTCTGTCCTGTGAGAACTAGATCTTCCTGAAATCGATGAGCACATCCACGCACTGTTGTCCTTGAGGAGGGTGAGATGGACTAAAAAGGCAGTGTGTGACCACCTAACATGCTGATGTGCAGAGATGAGGAGATGGTCCAAAGTAAAGGCGCATGCACAAATGGAGACAGGAATGAATGACAGGTGTTCTTTCTCCCTCTATATGCCTTGTAGTTCCAAGCAAGGAGTTAAGTCTTTTTTTTTAAAGCAAAAGTAGCTACTAAGTGCTTGTTTTAGATAAAGCATCAGGGGAAGATTGATGTTTTAGGCCAGGTAAAAACAATTTTTTCCATTAAAGTATATCAATGTTAAAAATAAAAGCAAACCTTGCTTCTTTTCTTTCTTTCCTTTTATCTGAAAAAGATACCACACTCCTCAGTATGCACAGTTTGCATCCTCATCCTAACAATACTTTTCACTGTTTCATTTTCTAGAATTTGATTCTAGAAAAATTGCTGCAGAAATCGCAGCCCTGCAGTCAGAGCTGAGAGGTTTTAAGAAGTGTAAGTACCCTTCCCTTCTTGTTTAGGCAACTTAAAGTTTGGGAGTGGTAGAAGGCAGAGAATATTTACTGCATGCATACGATTTTCTAGGACCTGAAAAGTTGCGCGTATTCTGAACTCATGATACTCTTCCAACAATCATCTGGGAGAAACAGAGGCAAATGGGAATTAAATTACTTACTCAGATCCACAGAGTTCAGTGTTAGAACCAGTTTATAAGTGGCAGTGACTCTGGGATTCCAGTCCTGCAGAGGGTCAGACCTTCACTCAACAAAAATGGCGTGTGGGCCACTTTGTAATCCTGGACTTAGGCCAGATAATGGAGTCAGTCGTGTTTCTCCCAGCTATGGTCAGATATTCCCAGATGTTTTTGTTTGATTGCAAGGTAACAGTATGGTAGAATTCAGAATTCCAGATTACATGTGTTCTGCAATGCAGATCACACAAAGGCTTTGTGCCAGTTTATTCATATTAAGACTGTAAGGAAAAGAAGCAAGATAACAGTTCATCTTGAATTTTAGGTAAAAGAAGCATGTTTTGATTTGTGTAAGCAGTCCACAAGGGGTCTCATGAACGAAGACATTCATTGTGGTATAACACTATCAGAGAAACTGCAATCTACACCGTTCAATTTGAATTTTACACCGTTCAATGAGTGGTCTAGAAGATAAGCTGGTGTTTCCCACCTTTTTACATTTTAGGGGTGTTCTTCTCTACAAGTGAACAAGTTGGAAATAAGTACTTTATGAGTACTGGTAAAAAGTTGAGCTTTTACAGAGCCAAGGCTGTGTGCTCCCAATTCCAGGCCTCTGTGGCCACTCCCCGGAATGCTGAGGAAAACAAGGCCGTTCAGAAGGTGGCTAGAGACATTGCCTACCTGGGCCTAACAGATGAGAGGACTGAAAACCGATTTTTGGATTTGACGGGAAGGAGTGTGCAGTACACTAACTGGAATGGGGGTGAGCCCAACAACGCTGACAATGGGGAAGACTGTGTGGTGCTCTTGACAAATGGCAAGTGGAATGATGTCCCTTGCTCAGACTCCTTTTTGGTGGTTTGTGAATTCTCTGACTGAGAGTGTTTGTTTTTCAGTCTTCCTTGAAACTTCATTGTGCTCCATAAGTCCACAATTTGTTCTGAAATATAAACTATGTAAAAATACAAACAATTAAACATTACCTACCCAATTAAACTAAACCATAACACTCTTTTTGGGATAGTGTTTTCTTGTGAAGGTGTAAGAATAAACATGAGTTTGAGCTTTTCACTTATGACAAACAGGCGTGATCTACTGAATCCTCTTTTCTCTTTATGTAGAAGAATTCCAGGGTAGTGACACCACCCTAGCTATTTCCATAGCACCTCAGGCCAGTCTCAGGTATTAAAAGGGTCTACGTACAGCTTTATTTCAGAGATTTATTTCTTTCCTAATGGGACATTAAGCTATACAGAATGCAAGTCTCAAGTGAACAGATTAATGAATTCTCTCTCACACACATACATATCCATCCATCTATCCATCCATCCATCCATCCATCCATCCATCCATCCATCCTCCCCGTCTGTCAATATATCATTATCTATCTATCTATCTATCTATCTATCTATCTATCTATCTATCTATCTATCTATCTATCAATCATCTATTTATATAATAATATCCTGTAGGTACAGGCATAGACACTTTTCTGACCCTGAAACTCCTTAATACTTCTAGGTAAGTATGATTTTGATCTGCAATGTAACAAATTAGTTGTATGTTTATTAAATTCACATAGATGGAATCATACTGTATGTACTGTTTTATGTCTTATGTTTACTTCATTCACAATTAAACATGTGATATTCATTCGAATTGTTACAGACAGCAGCAGTTTATTCCTCTTAATGCTGTTAAGAACTCTCCTATATTAAAACATCATACTTTATCTTTTTATTGTTAATAGACACAATCAAATGACTTTTAAGTTTTGGTCACTAAGAAAAAAATCTCTTGGGGCTGAGGAGTTGGCTCCACTGTTAAGATCAGGTGTTGCTCTCAGACCTGAGTTCCCAGCACTGCTATCAGACAGCTCACAAGCTCCTGTACCTCTAACTACAGAGGGTCTGAACCCTCTTCCAAATGCTATGGGCATGTGCACTCATGTGTACACACATACCCACACATATATCCATAGTTAAAAATGATAAAGAAAGAAGAAGCTCTCACGAACCTTCTTTTGGTAGATATATGCACTAACTTGGTGGTTGGTTGTTGGTGATAGGAAAATCAGGCGTCTAGACTCAATTAAAGGAACTGCACTCCCATCAACAATGTATGACAGCTGTGCACATTCTACATCTCAGGGAAGAGGTTGTACTTCAGTTCTTTTGATTTTGGCCATTCTTGTAGGTGTAAATGGGTGCTGCTGGGTTTTTTAAATTCTATTTCCTCAGTGTGTTACAATGAAGAAAACATTCCACATGGTAATTGCTAACCTACACATTTGTTGTGATCTGTTCAAAGCTTTTGTATTTTGTTGTAATCAACTTGCATTTTTCATATTGACTTACAGGTGTTTTTTTCACAATCAGAATACAAATCTCTTTTGCTTATGTATATCATAGGCACTTTTCCAGGTTTTTACTTTTCCCATTATTGCCTTTTGATGAATATAAAAGTTTAATAAGATAACTTTTGTTTGTGTGTCTGGGTGTTTTGCCTGCATATATATTTTATGTATACCACATGACTGCCTGGTGATGGCTGAGGCCAGAAGAGGTTGAAGGGTACCCAGGAACTGGAGTTCCTGATGCTTGGGAACTGCCATGAGCTCCAGTTCCCTGGAAGAGCACTTGGTGCTCTTAATCACTGAGCCATCTCCCTAGCACCAAGAACTTAACATTTTCTTTTACCTTTGAGATTCTAATTACACAATTTCTGTCTTCCAAACCCACCCACATTCCTCTCCTTATCTTAATTTTTAAGGAAACCTCATTTATTAATATTTTTATTGGTTAAGTTTCTTCATTTGTTTTACATCCCAACCATAGTTTCCTTCCCTTCTCTCCTCCCATTCCCTCTCCTCCCCTCCCCTCTGCACTCCACAATCCACTCCTCTGTTTCTGTTCAGAAAGGGGCAGGCCTCTCATGGGTGTCAACAAAACATGGCATATCAAGTTGAGGTAGGACTAAGCTCCTCCCCCCTATATTAAGGTTTTGTGAGTAATTGTTATTTTTTTGTCCTCTATATAAATATGGTTAGTTTTTCTGCAGTTATTAAACTCAATATATTAATTCTAATTACAAAAGTTTATAGATTTTTCTACATATGTAACCATGTTATCTGAGAGAGCAGGTAATGAGCATAAATCGTTGTTGGCTTGTTTCTTGTTTCATGCCACATAGTAAGATCTTTCTATTCCAATTTCATGCCACATAGTCAGACCTTTCTATTCCAATGTCCTTAGGGGTTTTGTTCTTATGACACAAAAACTGGAATCACGGAGGTGTTCATATTGAGAAACAGTATGGAAGACCTTTGGAACAGCACCCTACACACTGGAACGCGTTAAATCAAACACCCAAGGAAACGCGCAAAACAACCAAGTGTGCAGAAAACTCACACAAACCCTCACCTATATATCCTATATATCCATAGACTGATGTACTTTTTGCCCTTGACCACTCTGTTCTCTAACTCTTTCTGAAAGAAAAGAAAAGAAAAAGCAAAAGGAAAAAGAAAAAGGATAAAACGAAAAGGAAACACACAGGCTTCTAATCACAGCACTTAAGAGATAGAAGCAGGCAAATGTCTGTGAGTTTGAAGCCATCTTGGTCTACATAGTGAGTTCTAGGATAGCCAGAGATACTCAGTGAGAGCCCGTCTCATCAAACAAACAAACTAATAAAACAACAGAGGAGGAAGAAAAGGGGGAGGAGAAGGAGGAAGCAGAGGAGGAGGAAGAAGAAGAGAAATAAAGACAGTCTGGCACTAGGGATGACTAAGCCCTGAGCACTGTTCTGTAGTGGGTGAAAGCCCAACTATAGTCCACAAGGCAGCGGTTGCTCTCATAATAGTTCTGGTGGTGCAGTAGCTATAAAGCAATACTAGCTACAGCTCTTCATCTCCGATAGAAAACAATTGACAGCAACTTTATAATCGGTGTCCAGATCTCTATAAATGTCACATGAGTCACAGAATCACTACACTTCAGGAAGTCCAAAACTATGGCTCCTAAACAAGTATTTTTGCTTCATTCTGTCCTCAGGTCAGAGGTCATTTTACAGTAGTCAGTATCTCTCAGTGACCCAGATGACATTGTCATTTATCAGGAATCTAGGAAAGTGAAACTAGAAAGTTAATCTAAAACCAAATTCGGCAGTAGGATAAGGGAATTTTCTAACCTTTGTCTATGCAACATCCTTTAAAATTCTCTGTTATCAATGCTCCAGAAGGAAAAGAGACCATAAACTTAAAGTAAATGAAAAGTAGCACATGCAATAATATAAACCTATTTATAAACATCTTCTAAGGCTGGGGTTCCATCTGACTGTTGGAATAATAATAAAGACAGGTACTGGTGGACACTGAGTAGATGTGCCACATTCTAGATTAGTAACTAAATGAGTTTAGCTACTACTTAGCAATGGACTGAGTGGGTGTGGAATTCACCTGGCTGGATTTCTAAAGCACACACGGTGATGGGCTTTCTTCCACAGAGAAACCCATGCAGTAGTTTTCTTCTATAGGTACTTAGCTCACTCTGGGCTGGAACCAGACTCTGATAGTTTAAAGACTTCCTGGAGCCTTGAGTCATCTTTTCACTGTCCCTCATTGCTTTCATAGCCTTACTTCTCTCCTACACTTTTAGGTAGCAGGATTAATCAATATAATCACTAGTTTTCAACTTACAATTCTTTGGAAATTCTCCTTTAAAACATTGGCTGGGAAAAGTCCCAATCATGTTTGAATTCTACTCTCTATCCTCTTCTTGCTTGATCTTGGAGAGACGACTTTGATCATAGACAAGTATATAACCATGCTAATGTAGCACTAAAAGCCCTAAGGGCATCCACCCATTAACCCTTACTCATTTCTTCTCCACTCTCTTATGCTCCCAGATGCACACCGAAACTCAATCCATTTGTTATACTTCCAACCCTTTCTCTTTTCTCTTCACCTCTTTTAGAAGAGGGTATTGAGACAAGGTCTTGATTTGTGGTCATCGGTGGCTTGAAATTTGTTATGAGGACCAAGTTGGCACAGTTCTTCCTACTTAATAGTCACTGTCCTTCAGTTCTCTTTGAGGTCTTTGCACCTGATCACATACATCATCTCTGCTGTACGTTGGGTGGGTTTCTCTCAAAGATTCATATGTAAAGGCTTAGTCCGAGGCACTACAGTATGAGGAGGTACTTTGGACATTGCCACCTTCATCAGAGGCTCAGACCAGCAGACTCATGCCTTGAATGCCCAGAAATGTAAGTCAAATAAACCTCTTTATTTCATATATTGCCTCAGGTATGCTGTACTGATGCAAAGCTGAGTAGTTTAATCTCCATTCACTATTTCTAAATTGCTTTTTCCTCTTTCAGGGACACTGCAAATTCGTGGTTCTTGAGTCAATTTTGTCACAAAGAAAACATCAGATGTTCTACAAGACATAGAATTCACTATAGAAATCCTGAATTATTTTCCCAGTAGTCTATAGTACTTTTAAAATGTATTTTGCTTTTTAAATTTGTTTTGACATAACTATTGTTATCCTACAGTCTCAATCATATTATGATGGGGAATGTTCTTCTGTGTATATGTTTCTCTTATTGGTTGATGAATAAAACACTTATTGGCCAGTAGATAGGCAGGGATTATAGGCGGGGCTACCACATGAGAAGAATTATGGGTAGAGGAAAGAGAGAGAAACCGTGAGAGAGATGCCATGTAGCTACCAGGTAGATAGGACACACCAGGTGTTCTCTGGTGAGATGAGGTCATGAAGAAATACATAGATTAGTAGTTATGGGTTAGCTGATAGACACTTAAGAAAGTGCTCAACATCCTTAGCCATCTTACTCCTGTCAGAATGACTAAAATAA